TAAAATCCTCTACCACTCGAAAACCAAGACCCCCTTCTGTTTTGGACTTGCACAGCTTTTGCCAGGCGATCCAATGCATTCCTCGCGATTGACCATTTTTACTCCACCAGAAATTAGCTACCGAGCTTGTTAATTTTGTCGTAATAATTTTTGGTAATCTGAAGCAAGACATAGTGTATGTCGGAACTGCTGTGACCACTGATTTAATTAGGACCTCTTTCCCTCCTCTAGATAGCATCTTCGACGTCCAGCTATTTACCCGTGATTGTTGTCTTTCTACGATAAAATTGAAAACTTTTGTTTTGGCCCCTCCCAGGCTTTCCAGAATCCACAAATATGAACTCATACCCCCTATATTGGCTATGCCTAATGTATTGTGTAGGAGTTCCCGTGTCGCTAGTGAGACCTTATATCCAAATTGAATCGAGGATTTCGTAAAATTTATTTGTTGACTTGAGGCTAACTCATATTCTTTTAAAATGTTCAGTAACACCAATGCCTCTGCTTGTGTGGCCTTACAGAAAAATAGGCTATCATCAGCAAATAGCAGATGTGATACCGACGGACTCGCCCGAGCTATTTTAATTCCAGTGATTAGCCTATCCTGTTCTGCTCTTTTCACCTTTGCAATTAACACTTCCGTGCAAAGAATGAAGAGATAAGAGGACAGAGGGTCACCCTGTCTGAGTCCTTTTTTCAGTTGTACATTGCCTTTTGGGATCCCATTTATGAGGACTCTATACTGGACTGATTCAATGCACCACATTATCCACTTAATCCATTTCTCGGTGAAACCCAGTTTCATAAGTAGTTGTCTAATGAATGACTATTCTACACGATCATAAGCCTTACTCATATCTGTTTTGACAGCCATGTAGTGTTTCTTGCAAGAATTATTTGTTCGAAAGCCATGGAACATTTCCTGTGCTATTAGAATATTATCCGATATAAGCCTCCCTGACACAAAGGCCGATTGTGTCTCCGAGACCAGCCTTGGTAATAATTTCTGCAATCGTTGACATAGAACCTTGGCTATAATCTTGTATCCGACATTACAAAGATTTATAGGTCATAATTCTGTCATCCGAGTTGGTCTCTCTAACTTTGGAATAAGAAAAATATTTGTCAAATTTAACCGCTTATCAAATATTCCTGTCTCCAAAAATTGGTTTACTTGTTGTACAACCTCACACTTAATGATATCCCAGGATTTCTGAAAAAAATAATGCAGTCATTCCGTCTGGCCCCGGAGCCTTTGTGGGATGCATCATAAATAATGCTTCTTTTACCTCTTTCTCCGTTGCCGGTTTTATAAGTTCTTCATTTTCTTGGTCCGTTATTTCCGAATCAATTTCGCCCAAAATATTTTCAAACTGCGTTGGTAAAGTGGATGTAAAGAGCTCTGAGAAATATTCTACTGCAACCTTTTCTACCTTCTTCTCCCTAGTGACCCAAGTGTTATGCTTATCATGTAACCCAACAAGCCTATTTATTGTCCTCCGTTGTTTTGTAAGAGCATGGTAAAATTTCGTATTTAAATCCCCACATATGTTCCAAAGATTACGGCTTTTTTGTTGCCAAAAGTCTTCCTCCTCCCGGTATGCATCTTTGAGCTTCTGAGTAATCTCATTAAGTTCATCTTGGTTACGCGTATTATCTGACTGTATTTCCTCAAGTTGCTGTTGTAGGTCTTCAATCTTATTTCTACCAAATGGTTTATTATTTTGGCGCCATTTTGAAATTTCATGTCTGCATGTGACAATCCTATCCGCCGGGGATTGAGATGGTTGAATATGATACTCCCGCTAACCTCGTGTTATTGCATCCATTAAACCCTCTTGACCAATCCATCTTTTATCAAACCGAAATTGATTTTTCCTTCTAATATTTTTTGATTCAATTGTTGCTACACTAGGTCGATGATCTGAGCTTATCTCAAATATTTTACATATGAGAATGAGAATATGATTTTATAAAATATGATTTCATAAATTTTATAATAAATATTTATTATTTTTTTTTTGAGAAACTATATATCATAAAATGCTGAAAATATGTTTTTAAATTTAAATAGAAAACGATAAAAATGATTTTCGTGATTGTTGCTAAACGCCAAAAACCGCATCGTGTAAAAACATAACGTTTGCGGAAAATATCAGAAAAACTTTGCGGAAAATATCAGAAAAACTAACCAACACCTAAATATTACAATTCACTTATTTCTAACTCATACCGACATGCATAAATATACGTAGTGTTATTATTATTTTTTTTAAATTTAACCAAACATTATAAAAATATATATTATAAAACATATACTTTTTTATTTTCTTTTAACACATAAAGCCATATTTCGATTTTTTCACAAATATATATGTAAAAGTCGCATGCAAATTTGTCGTGCATATAGTTTGTTAACCTCAATTACAATCTAATTTTAATTTTAGTTATTAGGCTATTTATATATTTTTTTAAGAAATCTCTATATGTCCTAAGAGCGGTGAGGTGATTTATCGTGCGTACCAACCACCTCACCGCTCTTAGGATAGATACATACAGTATGGTAAAACCTATTTTGGTTTAATTAGCAATAAGTAAAAGAAAAATGTATACTTAAAAATATATATATTGGCAAGATTATATTATGTAAGAAAAAAGCATAGTATGAATAATATTCAAAACATAGTATAAGAATTTAATTATTATTTAATATAAATTTTACATTTGCAATTACATGTTATTGTAAACAATAAAAAAAAATATAAAGTTTTCAAAAGACACAAAACGATATGAAACGTTTGTGTGACTATTGTTGAACACTAAAACTGTATATGTATAAAAACATAACATTTACATAATGTATAAGACAATTAATCAATACTTAAATATTACAATTAATTATGTCTATAAAAAATTATAAATACATATGCGGGCGGGCGAAAAATGAAAATTAAATAAATTATTATATATTTTAATATTTTTCTATTTATTTAGTTATCATATTTATACTTTTTATGTAAAAAAGTATTTTAAAATCTTGGTTAATATTTTTTTTATCTTCAATATCTATTATAATCTAGAATATTTTATATTTGATTTATCATTATTTTTTATTACTAAATATTTATATAATGTTATTATTAATAATTAAATAATATGTAAATAAAGCATTTTTAATATATTATATTAATTATATATTGAATATATAAAATATTTTATAGTCTATACATAATCCAGGCCGATCACTTAATTATCACTTATATTCAAATTCGCATAATGCGCTGTTGATAATGTTGGTAATAAAAAAATAAATGATTTTACTTGTTTTTCTATAAATAATTTTTTTTTTTTTACGGCACTATAAATACTTTATCTATTAAAACATATTAGAGGACATCTACAACTTAATTTTGTTACATATACTTAATAAAGTATTTATTTATAGAAATAAACCTTAAATTTTGTTCTCTATCCCCTACAAAATATTTGTATTGTGTAAATAGAAATACAAGTTTTTGCAATATGTATGCATATAAATTTTTAATTACTAAAATTATTGCTTTTTTTTTTTTTTTCTCCAAGTGAATTTTTTTCTTCTTTTTTTGTGTTCTCACTTTGTTTCTCTCTCTCGAAGACTAATTGTTGAAAGAGCGGCCAGTGATCTCTCTCTCTCCCCACAAAGAAAAAAAAACCAAACTTCTTCGGTCGTTGCCTACTCGAGAAATCTCACTGCAATGCAAAGCTGAAACATCTCTTCTCTTCCTTCAAAAGACTCTTCAGGTTACCAAATCTCTCTTGCTCCATCTCTTAATGCCGTTTTAGGTAATCAACGTTCGTGTTCGTGCGATGTCTTTGTGGTTTTGCAAAACGTTACTGTTAAATGCCTAGAAATCGAGCAAAACAATCGGAGATTGTTCTACAGAATCCCTCTTCATACATGGAGTACCCATCTTTGTAGAATTCGTGTTTTGTATGCGTAAAGATTTCAACTTTATGTTGCTGCTTTTTTGCTTCTCTTCTATTCCAATGTGATTACACAAACTCGTCTTACCTCGTCTTATCCCTCCACGTGGGATTATAGGATCGTTTGAGTATTACATGTCTTTGTTGATGTTTTGGATCGATGTCTCTGGATTGACCCTTCTTCGTCAGTGAATAAGCATGTTCTTGATTCTGGGTCTCTCTTCTTTTCACGCTATATGTTTTTATTGCTTTCTCTCACTTTTGGATAACTTCTTTGTGGGTTTCTTGGAATTCGCGTTTTCTTCACTAATCATGTCTCGGATGTTTTGTAATTCCTACTTTTGTTTTCGATCTGAAGTGGTTTGAGGTAAACGTGTTGTTCATGAGCATTCTCCTTTTGATTTTCATCAAAAACAGATTGCAAATTTTCTGATGACTATTAGCTTTTCTAGGTGATCTTTGGATTTCTGATATGCCTCAGTTCATAACAATGTCCACTCTTGGTTTGATTTTATACTCCTCACTACTGATTGTAATGAATTTTTTCTTATCTGTTCTATGTGATTATACAGGAAATGTAGCTATGTTTTCTGCTTCTTGTGTATTTGATGTTCTTGCTTGGCTGTTTTTTCTAGACTTAGGTTCCTACACTTAACCTAATAAAAGATTCCTTAAAACAGAGATACCGTAGAAGGGTCCTAAGAGAAGCACTGTAATCGATGGTTTCAGTGATTATATGGGCACTGAGATTTAAGTGTTTGATGTTTAATGTATCCTTGCTTATCTGTTATATTGTGAATTTACAAGAATCATATCTATTTTTTCTGCTTCTTGTTTATTTGAAGTTCTTGATTTGCTGTGTTTTCAAGACTTTTTATATATGGGCAATACGTGAAGAAGCATGTCTTGAATCTCTAGTTGACTATCTTCGCTAGGATCAATCAGGTTTAGTGTTCTTATTTGATCTCAAATGAACCTTTCTCTTTGACTGTCTTAGCCTTTTGTTTGTATGAACAGTTTGCTGTTTACACTTTGGTATGTTCTTGAAGGTTTTGTCTAACAATGAAACGAGTAAAACAACGGTGTGATTTCTTATCTGCACCTTTTCCAATTGAGGCATATGGTTTGATACCGTTTTTGGGATCTTATGTAGAAGGTTCTTATAATGGATGAAGAAAACAATCTTATGGAAGAATCTTGCGAGGTAGAATTCGTCTGCGGTGATCCTAAAGTTGATATTCGTGTTGGAGAAGAGTATCAGGCCGAGATACCTCCTACGATGTCTGAATCCAAACGTGCAGCGTTTCTTCCGAATTTTCTAGATTCGGATCTCGACTCTGGTTCATCTTGTTCATTTGTGGTGGGACTACCTCTCGAGGTAATGTGGATAGACACCAAATATCAAGGTCCTGGAGATGATAATGTCGACATGAGCGAGTCTCTCAAATCTCTGAGAACAAAGAGAAACCGCAGAGGTGAGAGTGAGGGGAACGGGAAAACTAAGCAAACGATGAATCTTAAGGCTATCCCTGAGAAACCATCGAGTTCTTGGGAAGATTTTGAAGTAGATGGCTTTGTTCTTGGTCTTTATACATTCGGGAAGAACTTTACTCAGGTTAAGAAGTTTCTGGAGAGCAAAGAAACAGGAGAGATACTTTCTTTTTACTACGGAAAGTTCTACAAATCTGCTAAATACAAGACTTGGTCTCATTCCCTTAAGAAGCGAAGCAGGAGATGTATACAAGGTAAGAAGCTCTATTCAGGTTGGAGGATACATCAGTTGTTGTCCCGTTTAATTCCCAACATTGACGATGAAACGCACAAACAGAAGCTTATGAAAGTGAGTGGCGGTTCACGTCTCTTTCTCACATTCTTAACACAGAAAATTTCTTGAAAAAGTGTGTAAATGTGCTTTAACAAGGTTCCATTAACAGGTCTCAAAGTCATTTGCTGAAGGAAACACATCTCTGGAGGATTATATCGGCGAAGTGAAGGAGCTAGTGGGTCTTAAGTCTCTTGTAGAGGCTGTAGCAATCGGTAAAGAGAAAGAAGATCTCACAGTACTCACAACAGAGCCCGTAAAATCGAAACAATGGTTCACAGTTTCTTCGTCTCCGGTCGCTGCTGGTTTAGGAGCATACACTTCGCTTACACCTGATGAGATAGTCGAAAAACTGAGTGGCGGTTCACGTCTGAGTAAAGCCCGTTGCAACGATATCTTTTGGGAAGCCGTGTGGCCGCGTTTGTTAGCTAGAGGGTGGCATTCCGAGCAGTCGAAAGACCGAGGTTACAGCAAGTCTAGAGACAACATCGTCTTCCTCATCCCCGGTGTAAAGAAGTTTTCAAGAAGGAAACTTGTTAAACAGAGTCATTACTTTGATTCCATCAGTGACATTCTCAAAAAAGTTGTTTCTGAGCCTGAGCTTCTTGAGTTTGAGACAGTGGAGATTAAACTTTCCAATGGATTCTTGGAAGAGAACATTCGCGTCCAAGAGAAACGCCGTTACCTCAAGTCTCCAGATTCTTCTTCTACTCATATGAAGTTCACTGTTGTGGACACTACTAGTTTAGCTTCAGGAGGGAAGCTATGCGCGATTCGAGAGTTAAAGAATCTGAATCAAGAATCACTAGCTTCTCAAGAAAATTCTTGTCAAGGAGATAACAATTCATCTGTGGAAAGATTCGAAAAGGCGCATTTGGATGCACAGAAGCGAGCCAAGCTTGCTGATGAACCTAAATGGGAAAAGAGACGAATGAAGAAACTTGTGGATGAGCCGATGAGATTCTTGATCGTGGACACAAGTGTGGACCATGGTTTGCAGTCATTGGGGCTTAAGAGATGGCGACATTTGCCTAGTGATGAGAATCTCTGCAAGATCCGTAGAGAGGACTTTGGTGATTCATCAAAGAACCAATCTGGTGGGAATTGTGAGTATCATCCTAATGGGACTGATTCTGGTGTATATGTGGAGCCTTTGGAGAGTCTTACACAAGGCCGGTCAAAGAAGAGATCCGTCCGAAAACCGGAATCTAATAACCATCATTCGGTTAGTTCTTCTCTCCCCTGTCCTAAACGCAGGCGGCTCAGTGATTGTGTAAGGAAAGATATTAAACGTTCTGGTGAAAGTTCGTTATTGGTTGGTTCTATGAACATCAAGACTGAGCAAGTAGAAGAAACTGGAAATGGGATTGAGATTCAAGAAAGGCCTGAAACTGAACCAAATGGGTTATGTTCCAAACAAGAAGCTTTACATGAATCCAATTCATCAGAACAAGAACAAGAGGAGTCAAACCGGTTATGTTCCGACAAGAAATCCTCTTCCATGGATCTGGAAACTGCCCAACAACAAGAGAAACCGATGCAGCTTCCTTCCATGTCGGTCACAGACAAGAAGTCTCCTTCCACTGATCATGAAACTACTCAAGAAGTTGCATTTGTAGAAGAGAAAGGAGGAGAGCAGAACCAAGAGAGTAATAACACGGATCTTCCAAGAAGACAAAGCACAAGAAAGAGGCCATTGACTACTCGTGCTCTAGAAGCTCTTGAATCAGGCTTCTTTACAGAAAAGAGTTTGAAAAGTTCATCTAAACCGAGAAGACGTGAAAGGTCTACAAAGATCAAGAACTCAGCCAGTGCTACGAGAACTCGAGGTAAGTCAGAAAAGGGTTTTCATGTAAAGGAAACCACAGAAAGTAGACCGCTGGATCAAGTAGAGGATTCGGAATCGAGCTTTCTTGTGAGTGAAGCAACAGTGAAGAGTGAGCCTGCGGATCAAATAGAGGATTCGAAGAAGGTGACAACCGAGTTACCTAAACGTCCACCGATTGTTTTGAAAATTCCCTTTAAGCGTGGCTGAAGAAAGCGTTTAAGACTCGAATCATATTTTGGGGCGTTTTGATCTTAGAGCTTGAACTTGTTGAAGAAAATGTGTACAGAAGAAGAGAGCTCTTTAGACAGATTAATATTCTTTTGATACATATCACATATCCATGGCTAATAACATATTCTTTTGAAATCATTTCTTGTATCTTTTACCAAATTAAAACAGGCCTAAACTTTTTTTTTTTTGACGACACATGCCTAAACTAATTGCTCGGAACAGAATTAACTAGATCGATTCATAGAGCCCATATAATTATACTTGTAGAAGCTCAGTACGTTGTGCCAATTTGTGGTAATTTAAATATTTCAATTTTACGATTTATTTCATAATATTTAATATTAAAAGTAAATATTAATTTTTAATTTATGAATATTATGTTGTTTTAAAATTTTATATTGGAAGATTAATAGAATAATAATATCTTAATGAAGGAGAATTTTTATTTATTTCTCTTAGACAGTAAGGATATGTTGTTCATAGTATAACCAATTTGAAATTCATTTATGGTGAAATTTGTGAGTGCAAAGAAATGTGTTAATATTTTTCGGTTTTTGTAGATTATCAAGATATATAACACAATTATCATATTCTTTTTGTTTAGTTTGTGTTTTCTCTAACATTTATTCTTCTTGAATCATTTGAGTCGAAATCTTGAATATCAAAACGACATTGTGTTTATATGGTTGACTTGATAATATAGATGTTTCAATAAATTTTATTAAAATCTTGGTTAATGTATTTGTTGTTGTGTCATCCATATCATGATAAGTGAGGTATAAGTTAATCAAATATTTAAAGTTAGAGTCATTTGCTTGTAATATTTGATCGGTGCTAAAAGTTATTGTGTTACTAATGTTCTATTCTTTACAGAATGGACGTGTGATTCTGCGATGGAATTTGTGTATGATTTATTGGGAAAAGGAATTTTATGACAGTGTAATATGCATAAAATATATATTCTATTGAAATTTTGTATGATAGTTATAGTGAGTTAAATTTGTAAATTATTGTATTGTTCTTACTATTTATAGATTGTTGTACTTATTTATAGCATATATTTGTTTTTTTTTTTGTTTTTGTCTGGATTGTATGTAATTGTATTTATTATTTTTGTTTAGTGTAGCTGAATTTTTTTATTTTCTTTTGTTGAACATTTTTAATTTTATTTGTAAATGTATAAAGTAAAAATATGACACATGTCAAATTTTGAAGTGCCACATGACATCATATCAAAGCTCTTTCTGAAAAAAATCTTAGGCATTTTCTAATAGTATAATGCATATACTATATGTTCTATTAAAATTTTGTGTGGTAATTAAATTAAGTTGAGTTTGTTAATTGTTGTATTATTCTTGATATTTATAGATTGTTGTGATATCTATCTTGCAGTTTTTGTTTTTTGTTTTATTTTGTTTTTGTTTTTGTTGATTTTATTTAGTTGTCTTTACTATTTTTGTTAAATGTAGTTGACTTTTTATTTTGATATTTTTTTACTCTTTTTTTTTGACCATTTTTCTTTAATTGTAAATTAGGTAATAATCTACGCCCTTTGTGAAATAAAATAAATATTATTTATTAAAATTTAATATAATTTTAAAATTATATAATATAATATAATATAATTAATTAAATTTTATATAAATTTCTACCAATGTTCAAGATTTAGGTATACAATATTTATGTATATATTTAATTACTTTTGATTATTAAATAATAATTAAATAATATTAGTTAAATAGTTTGTTAATCATCTACTATATCAAATGAATTAAAGAAAGACAAAATTTTTATGTTTTTAATTCGAATATATCTATAAATTAATGTAAATAACTCTCTTTGTAAAAGAAAATAACAGTTTTTGACTCAAAAAATATTTAATCAAAAAATATTGTCTAAAATATAATAGCATTTTACTAATAAATCTACATATAAAAGCATAAATTATAGATTGAAAGTATAGTATATATATAATAAAATAAAATAAAAATATTAAAATTAAGATGTAACAATATATGATGTGACATATAAAATTTATTATAAGTAGCTTCTATAAAAATATTGATGTAAGTTAAAACATAAGTTTGCCCATCTTATATATTGTTTTCACTCTAAATAGAAAATAAACATTAATGACTTATTAGAAAAAGGTGCCAATACTGTTTATACTTGAAATCTTTGAATATGTATATCTAAATTAACAGACCAATTTTTAATTTATAAATTAGTAATCAATAATATTACTTATATCTAAATTAAATTAGTAAGTGTGCCATAAATTAAATTCCATGTTTTACTAATATATATCAAATGCAATAGAATTTGTTTTTAATTTATATTATTTTTAAAATTCGAATTATAACACATGTACAAACAAATCTATATATTTTTTACTATATGGATAATGTGATCATTTATTTATTTTATAAAAATAAGTTTAAATAAAAATAAGAGAAAAATACATTTTGCTAGAAAATGTAATTAAAAAATTAATCAATATGATATATTTTTGATAAGAAATAAAAAAAGAGAATATCTTAATTAATTAAATGCAGATTTATGTATAAATAATTGATATAAACTATTGTATATCCAGATTAATGTGAGTGGCAAAACATGTAATTATTTTAGTAACAAAAGTCTTTTTTCAAAAAAATTCTGAAAATCTTTATGGTGGTGACCCATCAGCAAAATGGCACCACTATAATTTTTTACAAATTTAAGGTTATTCTCTAAAAATGCTTCTCAATTAATATATAGGGATGTGTAAAGTGAATATATAATGTCAAATTTTAAAGTCCCACATGATAACATACCAAAGTTCTTTCTGAAAAAAACTTTAGAATTTTTTTGATTAATACGTATATATATGTTCTACTGAAATTTTGTGTGGTAATTAAATTGAGTTGTGATTGTAGATTAGTGTACTGTTCTTAATATTTCTAGTTTTTTTGTAACATTTCTTTTGCAGTTTTTTTTGTTGATTATATTTAATTTTCTTTACTGTATTTGTTTAATGTAGTTGACTTTTTATTTTTATTTTGTTGATCATTTTATTACTCTCTTGTGAATTTTTTTGATATTGTAATGCATAAAGTATATGTTCTATTGAAACTTTAAGTGGTAATTAAATTGAGTTGTGTCTGTAGATTATTGTATTGTTCTTGAAATTTATAGATTCTAGTAACATCTCTATTCCAGTTATTTGCTTTTGTTTTTTTTGTTGATTATATTTAACTTTCTTTATTATATTTGTTTAATTAGTTGAATTTTTATTTTATTTTGTTGATCATTTTATTTACTCTCTTTTGTTGACTATTTTTTGTTCAATTGTAAATTTTTTAAATAAAGATATGATACATGTAAAATTTTAAAGTGCCACGTGTCAGCATATGAAATAGAAGAAAACCATGTGTTGAAGGAGAAAAAATATTAAAGTTTTGATTTTATGTCTGTTCGATAAAAGAGAATCAAATAGAAATATAAAAAAAAAGAAAAAAAAGACAAATATCAATTTTTAATATGACATGTGACAGCATATCAAAGTTTTTTTAAAAAAAAACTTTAATGATTTATATAAAATATCTTTATAGTTTTTTAAAATAACAAAATATTTTAGAGAGCCGTAATTAGACTAATACTTAGATGGATATTAAAAATACTCAAAATTTAATGATATACTCAAACATATTAATTATATTATATTTAAAATGAGAAACTCTTTAAAAAGGTATAAAAACAAGTTTTATTTCTAAATTTACCATGTACGCTCAAATGTGACAATCATACCATTAAACTATAGCGTTATTGCATTCACTTAAGTAAGCTTTTGAATTTGAATTCATGAGTTCGTAAAATTTGTTTTTGAATTGCGCCGTCTCACTACAAGCTCATCTCCACCGGCTAGCCGTCACACATCGTTCTCCATCTCTGATTGATGTTGCCGTCATCACACTTCGTTTTCCATCTCTGATTGCTGTTGCCATTGTCACACTTTGTTCTCCATCTCCGATCGTTGTTGCCGTTGTCCCAATTCGTTCTCCATATCCGATCATTGTCGTCACAATTTGTTCTGGGTACTCGACTGGACCCCATCTCTGATCGCATCTTCGACTGGATTGTGTCTTTGACTGTATCACCGGCATCGCGAGAGCAGATTGGTAATTTCCTTCGATTTTGTTATTCAGTAGTTGATTTTTGTAAGATTTTGGATGAATGAATAGATGATGTAGCAGAAAGACTTTGGTAATCATTTAATTCATTAATAGAAGATTTTATTAATAAATAAAACTCATGCTAAGTTTGATGAATAGAGATGATTTGGAACATATACATGATGCATGGTTTTATTTATTCTAAGTTTTACTCCTAATAGCAGTTGCAAGTACATAGCAATCACAAAATTATTTTAAAAGATTAAATCTATAGAGATTGTTGTTTTACAAATATCCTAATATAGTTTTTCTCTTTAGATCAAATGAGTAAGTTTGAGAGTTGTGTATCACAGTCTGTAGTATTGAAAATAAGCAAGAATTGAAAATAAAACAGTTGTAAATCAATTAATAAAAGACGTTGAGCTCAAAGAAATTCTCAGGGGTTCATGAATCAGATCAAACAAATAGTAAATTAGATTTAATTGCGATAAAGTCGTTTAAATTCTTTAAGTTGACACGGTTCATTATGATTATCCTATTTTCATAAATTGAATCACTTATGTCTGTGTTACACAGTGAGTATGCAGTTGCATCGTATACACGCGATAAGTCCTGGTTTGTAGGGGCTCACAGTGCTTATAAGTGTGCAGTCACACATTACAACGCAACCGCTCGTTTACTTTAGATCTGGTCGATAAAATCACAAGTTAAAGGATCTACCAATCGTAATATCAGTTACTAGATAATCAGTAAAGCAACATATAGTAAGAATGAAAATAAACGAAGATATCTATTAGAAAATCAGTCTCTAACAACCTAGCATAACTGATCCATAGTTAACCCACTTATTAGAAAATCAGTTGCTAACATTCTTTTTGGACTTCGAGCTACTTCTATTCCAAAAAAAATATCTCAACAAACCCTGATCTTTCATTCAAAAGCACACACTCAGGTAACTTTTAAACGCATCTATGACTGCCATTAAATTACCAACAATGATTATATCATCTACATAGATCAAGACATGTAGGTGGTCATTGTGACGCTCAAATGTAAATAAA